ATTTTTCAATCTTCATTTATTATATAACTTTATCTTGATAATTTTATTAATTATATATTTATTTTTATAATTAATTTTTTTTAATTTTTACATATTCAAGTTTTGGTTACACGGAACAGAAAACAAAACATCCTCGTGATTGTGAGTAATTTGATACGTTAACGATCGACCTCTTCTTTTGCAAATCGAGGATGGGATTGCGAGATGGTTGCGAAACTGGGCGTCCCATTGTTTCATTCTTATGTGTCTCGTTTCCTCTTGTGACCATTCCCACCGAGCATCGTGATAATTTTATCCAACAAACGTCCGTTTTTGTCCTCTCCATCGTTGCCTTCACTTGCATAAGAGCACTCAGTGAAAATCCTTGGAAAGCGCCGGTCGTTTAATGCAATATTTTTTATATCCTATATGTTTTGGTTCAAATACATATATTCAAGAAACTGCTGTTTTCTATATTAATCAACAGTCCTTGTTTTAAGTTAAAAGAGAGGAGAGAGCACAGAGTAATATTTTTAATCTTTTAATTTTAAAAGTTGAAAGATGTCTGTTTTTTGCAATTTGAACAATTGATATGCACTATGAATGAGTGTTATATAATATGCGGTAATAAAAATATATCTTATTTTTTTAATGAAAACGAATACATTGACATTCTTAGAAAGGATTTTTCTAACTTGTGTACAGTGAAATATTTTTCTTTTGATTTTGCAACCAGAATAAAGCAATGTTGAACAAAAAAACTCGTTCAATCATTCTTGAAACATCTCGAATTCCTTTAGTCGCGAATTCCCGTTGGAATTGGAATGTTAGGATTTCTTAATGATTAGGATCAGAGTAGTGATTTATAGAAATTCTCACTGGACCACGAGTAAACGAATGAAAAATGGCAAGAAAGGAGCCATTAATTCATTATATCTCTCTATGCTCGTTATTTGTACATTAAAAAATCATTGTACCAATACATAATACTAACGAATATTATAAGTGTTCTACAAATTGCTCGACATGTAAGTAGACAAAACAAATAACAACGAAGTGTTATAGCATGTTGAAATTATTCAGCCAATATAAGTTATTTTTTCTTGAAGTAGGCAATGTTCTTCTAGGACTGAATCTCTCTTTCTCCTATATTATTATATTATATCTGTAAATTATATAAGTATATATTGTCATGTTGACACGACACGATTTGTATGAGAAGTAGGCATCTCGTGCGACTCATCGAGAGTGTGTGTTTCGCCTTTATTTTCACCGTCTCATCGCATGAAGCTGATCGGCTGAACACTCGGGGAGGGAAAGAAACCGTGAAGGCCTTGTCTCGAGGCCACTCATGCACGCGAAATAAACGTTGCAGTTAACGGTAGCGGTTCAAGATAACGGAAAAGATAGACGCCACGTGCTTGTGAATATCTCATCTTAGGATATCGCGATAATTATAATCGCGATATCCTGAGGCATGCGATTCACGATAGAATCGGTTTGATTTTCTGATTATTATTCGAAGCTAAGATAGAAGAGTTTAAAAAAAAATTAAGTAATTAAATATAATTAGATTGTACATTAAAATTCAAACTGAAATAAACAAGCTAGAATAGCATAATATATCATTATAATTTTTCATTGAAGTATTCGATATTAAAATAATAAAATTCAAAATTTAATTAAATTATCTCACGTTAAAACAATTTTTTATACAGGTATATATAATATTATGTATATAATACATGTATAATATATTATATATACGTATGTTATACATACATGTATAAAAAATATATGATATTGTATATTATATATATTAATTTTTTTATAGGACATGACAAATGTAATTACTTACTCTTCTTTTTCTAGTGGTTAAAAATAAATTTCTTTTGAATGAATTCTCTTTCCTGTGTGCAAATTAAATTTTTGCTGAATGGATTTTCTTCCTAATTAACGAGCAAAAATACTCGTATTCCGTGACGATCTCATTTTCTTCGGAACAGAATTTCACTTCCCCTCTCTTTCTTAGTAGGATACCTGCTCTTCAATCATAAAAGAGTACGCGTTGCAAGCTGAAGCGTCGACGATATCAACTATTAATTAGTCCTGCACCGTCGAGCCTGGTAAAATTGTTTTATCCACAGAAAATTTGTACTTAATGAAATAGGCGAGTTTTTCAAACACGCATACTGTTGGCACTGATTTGTAGCATATGATTTATACGGAGGGTTTGACAGAACATGAGATGAAAATTTTTGTAAATAATTTATAGGGATATATTTCATTCCCATCAAATTTTATGGCAACTCTTAATTATATTTTAATATTTAGTTAAACTGTTGTAAATGCTTTCTATTTATTTATTCATCTTTATATTTATTTTGCTGGTTTCTTTTTACCTACTTACCTACTTTTGCTATTTTAAATAAATACAATAATTATTATTATCTATTTAATTTTTATTATTTTCTTATACTGCGTATTATTAACATATAGAAACAGGTTGACAAGACAAATATTTTTAATAAGAATTTTGAGGTTGCCGCGGTAAGATATTTACTAATTCACTTACCGAAACAATAATATAAGAATTACATTTGCATTTACTCAGAATTTAGATCGAATTTAGATTTAGATTCAAGACATTTAAATTGAAAATTTGTTTTTTCTATTAATTTATGTTATTCATACGAATGATCCTAATGGGAACTAAACAGAAAACGAGGTCATCAGCTAGTACACAATACTATTACTCCCAAGGAAATATATATACAATCATAGTAGTCGAAGCGTTAAGCACGAGATAATGGCCTCAATGTGTAATAAATCGTCGAGTATGACGATTCTTATTATTATTATTAAGGACGTGTGCAACCGTCTCCTAACGAGTCACGTGAAAGGATTCCTGCGGATGCATTTTACGACGGTGTCATCAGGGCATTATCAGTTCTAGAACTCCCGATAGACGAAACCAGGTGTGTTCCTCTAGGTAGAGCCTTCCTATGCGGCCCCAGAGATCGGTCGGGGATGGAGAGTGGGGCGCTCATATAAGACACCAAGCAAACGCCTCTCCCAGTGACCAGTCTCGACACGAAAACTCATCAGCCGAGCTTCCTCGGCTCCCACACGACAACGCAGAGAAAGAGAGAGTATATACCCCAAGCATAAACCGGAATATTTTGCCGACTAGGGATTGACATTTCGCGTTATCGTACGTCATTTTCTCAGGATGTCGCAGCAGATACTTCCGCTCGTCCTGGTCCTCTTGGCTGCGCAGGGTGAGTCTTTCCGCTTCTTCTTCTTCTTTTTCTTCTCTGTCTTCCTCGACTTCTCTTTCGCTTGGTTATTCCTTGCCTTATCTTTGAGGTTCTTACAGACTCTCTGATTGATTCAATGGACCGCGTAGATTAATATTGTTAATTTATTTACAAGTAAATATATTAAACATATATTTGTCTACATTTACATTAATTAAAACATTTTTTATATTATTAATGTTAAAAGTGAATTACAATAATTTTTCAAATTTTATTACACATTACCATTAATGAAAAGGAAATATTGATAAAGTTATTAAAAAAACTACAGACATTTCATTAAATGTTTCTATTTTTTTTTGTTAATGAAAGAGGACCTTTTTCGCGTAACAATTTAATATTTTGATATATTTAGCATACTTATATGTAGATATGAATTAAATGTTTATATTTTTCTTATTTTTTTTAAATACAATTTTTGTTTCTATAATTTTGTAAATTTTGTTAATTATTAACACATATTTCTAATGATATTATTTAAATTAATTATTTAAATTTTATTTTAGAAATTTGATAATTACATTTTATTCTGTTCTCAATAACATCATTAATAAAAAATTAATGATTACAGATTTAATAAATAAATAAATCTAAAACTTAATTATTTAATTAATTTTATTGAAAATTATAATTAATAATTTATTCTGATAATAAGATTATTATAAAAATTTTAACAATTCTTATTAATATTTAAACGTCACTTATTCATCTTTTTCATCTCGATAATAATATAAAAACAAATTTTTAGCAATATTTGTTTAAATTAAACCACAGAAACATCTGACATTTTTAGAAGCCGATCGTCTTTGATCTTGACTTGATCTATCGACCGTTTGGCTTTCACTTTCGAGATAGGTACGTTCGCCTGGCTATCTTTATAAATAATAAGAGTCGATCAATAAAACCAAGACATGTTGAGCGAGGTGCAAAAATGAAAACGGTGAAATTTCCACGCAGCCGTCGTCATTTTAGTGAAACTAAAAAATCACGCGAATCGTTCTACTTTCTTTTGCGAATCCTCGATAATCGCAGACGTTATATTGATTAAAGGCGATCGTCTTATGTCCTTCGCGAGATCAATGATTCACGAAAGCGACCTATTTCGTTTTCTTATTGAGCGATTGATTATCGTATCGTTCTATTGATATGTATGATTAACTAGTAGCAGTTTATCACTTTCGCATTAAGTAAGAAATATTACAGGTTTTTTATCAAATGAATAGGAATGGTCATTTATTCATGATTTGTCAATTACACTCTCTCTTTCTCTTTCTTCCTTATTTTATTTTCTTCTGTCATCGATTTCAACGTTCACAGATATGCGAATTAAATTAATCGCTGAATAATTTAATATATTGAATTAATAATTTTATATTTCTTTGTCGGCAATTTTTTTTAGTTGAAGGAAATGAGGGAATCGATTAATTTTACATAATAAAACTGCATATTATATGTATAATTATTAATTATATAAAAATTATAATGATACAATAACTTCTAAGAATAATATCTCATTAAATTAGTTCCATGTTCGCGAAAGTAGTGAAAACTAATGAGCATTTTCATGTGACAAAATTACATAAATACTAATCTGATAAAGGAGAACAATGTTGTGAAGTTAGATAATGAGCCCGAGAACAATTTTCATTGCACAATCCTCGCGACATTCGAGGTGCAGAATTTGTAGTAAACAGCGGTCCATTGCTCCGCAATTATTACACGCATCTTCGTAAGAACAATGGTGGCCATTCACCAGGTTTCACACATCTCAAGAACTTTCTCCCGTGTGTCAGGAGTGAAAATATGAAAGTAGCTCAGCATGCAGTTTACTCTCTCTCTCTCTCTCTCTCTCTCTCTCTCTCTCTCTCTCTCTCTCTTTTTTTTTTTAAATCTTCCTCTCAATTGTTTATCGTTCTATAATTATTTAGCAAACAACTTTTTAGTGGAAACTACTTACTGTTCACTCACATTTTTAAGTTCAAATATTTCTAAGAAATTTTATTTTTCTTTAAATATAAGAGATGGGTTATTTTAATTAGTGTATGAATATTATCTTTATTTTCTTGTTACAAAAATTTTTTTATGATTATATCTACACAGTCTAATAAATATATTATAGATATTATTTCCTTATTCTTTTTATATAAATTTTATTTTATTATTTCATCTCTTTTATATAATTTTGTCTTAAATTTTACTTTTATATTGGTTTTTACTATAATAAAAAAAATTCTGTATATATTTTTTATATATTTCAATTTTATTTTTGTATTATTTCATTTTATTTTTAAACTTTTTCGCTCTTTTCTTCTTTTTTGTGAATCATAATGTTTACGTACCATAAATGTCTTTTTATCATACTTTTTCTTTTTTATCACAATTCATTAAACATCGATGATAGCGATGTCTACACGAAGGAATCTATCTAATTCTTTGAAAATATATGATTGTCAATAACTCAGTTTTATAACGCTTACGCAAGAAGTCTTACTTTCTACGACGACATTTGAAAATATTACTTCGAGACTGATCGGCAGCCACTGTGCGTAATCTTTGCGGAGAAAAGTTCCATTCATTCATCCATTTATTTGTCTGCTTCCCACGCCTATTTTCCCGCCTATAGCGCAGAGTTGCAACGTAAACGTTGACCGGTTCCGGAAGTGGCGATGTAATAGCATCGGGTAAAACGTTTCGCTCGACTTGAATTATTGATTGGACGATAAAAAGGGTGCAAATAGGAAGGAAAGGAGAAACGGATCTCATAAATAAAACGTCATTGTTGTTCTGACGCGGCGCGATTTTGTTGAGGAACGTTGCTCTTTATCGAGCTATAAGACGGGATACTAACTTTGCGTTCCTCAAGTTTTACCGGTCTCAGGAAGGATCGAGTTTGCTTATTTTTCATGGAAAAGAACGTGAGAAGGCCGAGAATGAGAGACAGAAAAGGGAGAAAAAGATATATTTGTAATTTGCCTTGCTATTTGAAAATAAAAGTCGAATGCATTTTTTTGTCTAATCCGGTAACCCGTAATTTATGTGACATTTAATCTTTAGGAAATTTATCAAGATATTTTTATCTTAAACTGTTGTAGTGACATTTAATTAAAAATTTTGACAAGTAGCCACTGGTATTGAAAAAATAAAATAACAAAAATGAAAAATTAACGATGAAAGTAAAGTAAAACTCATCCCAAAAAGAGATTTTATTAAATTTAATTTCAGTAAAATTTAGATGAGAAAAATACTAAATTTTAATAAATCATTTATTTGAATAGTATATCAACTAAATATTTTACTAAATGTAAAAATATATTTATTCAGTACAATAACCATTAATTTGATGTAACAATCATCTTTTCATATTGAATAAATATTTATTTATTGTAAGTAAATGTTTAGTTAACATTATTCAAATAAATATTTATCAAAATTTAGTACATTTTTCCTCAGTTCTTCATCGATTTCTTGTAGACCAAATTTATTTCTTGCTGCGAAAATTCTGTACGAGAAAATTGTTTCCCTGAATCCAACGATGAAATTACGTCGAGACATTTTTTCATTTTCAAATTAGGACATTTACACTTTTATCGCGCGTTATTTCTCAAGTGTACTTTCTAAAAATTAACGACGATGTTTCATACGCTGATCATCCATCGAACCGCCAATAAATCTATACTACGCCGCGAGAATTCTTCCTGCAGCGCAAAATCGATTCCTCGTAAATCCTTCCAAGCGAGGGACTTCCTTAAACCGTCACTCATCCGAAGCCGCGTGTTTTGCACGGAGCGTGAAATCCTCGCGAGGAGCAAAGCGCCGCCGGCCGATCCTGCTTTGAGGCGAGCAGTTACGGCTGCCAAGCTATGCGGCTCCGGCTACTTACCTACGAGAAGTCGTAAAGGAAGGGAAAGTAACCCGGTGCCATGTTAACTAAGCGTCTCGCTTGCGTAATTTGCCACAACGTCTCCGTGGATGTCTCCACCTATTTGCGGCACCGTAACGGCCGAGCGCGCAAATCGATTAATCGCGCCGGTTTTGCGTCCAAATGGATTTATCTTCTTTATTTTTCGAGCGCAAGATCGCTCTCACGGGTGGCCACGGTTCTTTTATTAAGGATCCTTGACGGCATTTGCATAATTCTTAAAGGCTAATGCCTGGTAATCGTATCAGTCTGGATACGTTCCAATCATCGATGATCGCAGTAAGAATTTCTTCTTCCACTCATTCGAAAAAGAGACGAGAATTTTTTGTTCTTTTGCTCGATTAATAAAAAGGAAGGAAGAATAATATATAAGATTGATATTGAATATTATATCAAATAAATGTATTTTATAAAAAATTTATTAGAGAAGACAAAAATGCTGTAAATTTTGATTTTATTTTGCAGTCAAAGAATTCATCTCAAATCAAAATTTGTAATATCTACATAGAACTAAACATTCTATTGCTACTATTGTTTTACTCTCAAAGTGAAAGAATATTTTAAAAATAAAATATGAAATTTTCAAGTTTTATTTTTATTTGTGGACTTAAGATTTAAAAAATACATAATTTGGAAAAAAGCAGATATATGTTTAACGACCTAGATGTTACAAAGATATTTTTAGATAATTAAGGCTATAGTTTACGCAATCTGTGCCGGTGGAAACTCACAATCTCTCAAACGTCCTTTCTCAGACGGGCAAAGCTGCTTCCCCACGAGATTATTCGTATCGTGAGATCGATCGATCGTGCTTCGCTTTCCTTCCCTTATCCGCTCAGACTAGTTAGCCAACAACATGTAACTTTTCTGTAGTTACAGGTAATATTAAATTATATTTATAGCATGTAAACATGATGATCAACGAGACTGTTATTATCGAGGTCGCATTATTGCTTGACAGTATCTTTTTGTTTCGACGCTTATGCGAATATCGAAATTTCGGAAAATTCTTTTCAAGATTCTGATTTTCTTTGCAACATCTTGATAGGTATGAAAACTTCTGGCACGGTACTTCTAAATATATTTTGAGTATTTCTTGTAATTTATTATGAACTTTATAATCAAAGATAACCGACATAATCTAAAATGATGAGTCTTAAGTATCATGATTAACGTCACTTTAATAACGTAATCAAAATCGAGATGAAAATAAAAGATTTGAGGTGTGGCATTATTAGAAATCTCTTGCAAAATGGTTTTAGAGATAGGGTCATGATCTCTCGTTTTGCTTCGAGCACCGAGAAACAGAACCTGTCGAAGATTCCGGTTGTTCTCTGAAGATCTTTTATTTTCATCTTAATCTCGATCTTCAGATCCTGAGAGAAAGAGAAAGGTTGAGCAAGAGTGAGGTCTTTATTCCATTCTCAGATTAGATCTCTTAAGGGTGGGCGGTCGGAACAATATAACATTATAACAACAAATTGAGAAAAGAGCCAGAGAGAGAGAAAGAGAGAGAGAGAGAGAATGTATGAAGAAGAAATGAAAAATAAAATCGAAATTGTTGACGAATGATTGATTACATGTCAATTCATGGTTTTTATTTCATAAGATAAGATATGTAAGTGGAATCCACAATAGGAAACTTCCCTTACAAACTAAAATAAATTTATGTTGCTACGGATTTTTGATAACACAACACACACACATTAATCTCTTAGAAAGTTAAAACTAAAAATAAGTTAAATTATATATTAAACCATGTGTAAAGAAAAAAATAAGATTATTTTAAAATTAAAGATTATTTAAAAATAAGATAATTTTAGCAAACATGAAGGAATATTCCGCCAACTGGAATCGAGAATGACATTAGGTTAATCGACTGGTCGGTCGAATCTTTCGTGCATTAAAGGGGAGCTTAGGGTCCAGAGGTGGAGCAGGGGTGTGGAGCAGGACTGCCCCCGAAGGTTGCAAGTCAAGGCTAGGCACTTTCACTCGAGAGTAGTCTTGGGAGCGTGCCTCGTGCCGGCTTCCCACCTTATTTTACTATTTGCTTTTCCGTTGAATCATTAGCGAAACGATTGAACATCGTGGTAAAACGGCACCAGCAGTTTATGTTACATACTTTCGATCTGTGCATGTAACTCCGACGCAAATCTCAAATGAAAAAAAAAATTAATTCCTTATTTAAATATGATTACAAATAAAAAAATAAAAATAAAAACTATAGAACCCCCTGAAATTTTCTTCTATTTTGAGACCATAAATCTGAGTGACTTGTTTAAATATTTTAAGATGATATTTTTAAGTCGCAAAGAATATTCTTGAAGCGTCTAGGAAAAGTTGTAAAATATTCTTATATAAACTCCGTAAGAATAAAATATTTTTATATCTCTATAATAGGAACATTCTGAATGAAAATAAAAAAAAACGACATTATTGATGGTTAATCTTAACTTCTCATTTTCAACGTGAATATCCTTATGCAAAGAATTGCTCGACTTGGTGAAAGAACTTTGTGATGTCATCCTGCCGTGGAATATTTTTCTATAACGCGGAAGAAGAATATGCATTCTAGGCATTTCATGCATTAATCAATAGAGCGATATCCTTGAGTAGTATATTAATTCTGCTCATATAATTATGGCATCGTAATTTCCGAATTAACACAAGTTAGTCCATTGCTATAACACTAAATGATTTCGAAATTACACATTGTTAGTATATTACACATTGTAAATATATATGCCGGCAATTCTTAATATTCGCGGGACGTTCAGTGTCCTTCGCGAAGGACATGTGCAGATGGAATTCGTGATTTTGATACGCTATATACATATGTACTCTTCGATATTTCGTAATCGCAGTTCATTAGATGAGAACGAAAGGGAAAGGAAAGGATAATTAGCTCTTATCGAAAAAGGTTAATGACACGATAAATTGGTGGATAAATTTGAGAGCTCATTAATGAGTATCTAGATAATTTACGTAGCTCGATTAGCGTTGAGAAAGTAAGGAATAAAGACAGAAGAAAACCAGGAAGAGAAGAAGACTATCATCTTTAATCATAAATTAATCATGAATGAGGAAATATAAGTACCTCTCCGAAATTCCACGTCAAAGGACTAAGCTGTACCCTAATCTTCCCAAATGATTTCTCTTATTGTGATCCCAATGACTTGAAGACAGATCTCATATGAAAGATAACTCAATTAGCAGGACAAGCATTTACGCTTTCACTCTTACAGGCTCGTTGGGCCAGAAGCAACAACAGGAGGACCCGTGCCAGACAAAGTCCCGAGTGGTGGGCGACGTTGAGTACTGCGATCGCTATTGGGAATGCGTGAACGGTCGCCCAGAGCTGTTCGACTGTCCAAATGGTCTCGTGTTCGCCGGCAAGCATCGCGGTGTCACCGAGGGTTGCGATTATCCGTGGCGTGCGAACTACTGTGACGGCAAACGCCAGGCAAATCCGCCGATTCCGACCGAGCACTGTGACTGGTTATATGGAATCTTTGGTCATGAAACTTCTTGCACCAGGTACTGGACTTGCTGGAACGGCACCGCCACCGAGCAGCTCTGCATAGGTGGTCTGCTCTATAATGAACGGGCTAGATCCTGCGACTGGCCCGAGAACGTCGAGGGATGCCAGAAGCATCGTAAGTACGATGATAGACAGGTCGAGAGATAGCCAGAGAATTTTATCAGAAAGTTTGGATATTAGAATTTATATGTTAGAACTTGAAATAATTCATGGAAAAAGATAAAATGGAAATATTATCATTTCGCATAAAAATTCATGTTAATGATCACATATTGTTTTTATCAAAAAAACAAATATTTTGAGGAATAAGGATGTTCTGCAAATAGCATTCGATTCTTATCGACTACTTTAAACCCACAGTTGGATCTTTTCGCTTTCTTATTTATCTTTGTAATAACGTTTATCTTGGGAATTAATTGGCATTCGGCTAAATTCAACGGATACATCTTTAAGATGCGGTTTTAGGCGGACTTAATTTGTACAAGAAGCGGAATTTTAACGATTATTTTCACTTTCGAAAGTGGGCGGACGGGATGAACGCGATGCGTTTCCTCATGCCTACTTCTCGGCTCTTTCCAGGAGTTAGTGCCCAAGGAAAAATGGGCGAGGCACTTAATTAGCATTCGAAGTGAATTCTTGTCGCGCCTTTCTCCCCTTCTTCGCCCTCGGGATACGATAAAACACGTTTATTATTAATTCGCATCGCCTCTCTTTGAATGTCAAACACTAGCTGACGCATCGATCGTACGCGAGATCGTATTTCTTTTTCATAAGGTTGGAAGTAATGAAAGATATTATAAGATTGAAATAAATATAGTTCTTACAACATTTTAAAGTATTTCTACATATAAAAATATTTGGTTTAAATATTGATGATGGGATTAATGATTAGTGACAAATTAATGCAAATAATAATTTATCACTAAATAATTAGTGATAAATTATTTTATCAATTTTGAATTTTTAGAGAATTCTCGAAAATCATGCCAATAACCTCACACATGTGCAAAGTGAAAGAAGGAAATAAAAGACATTCACGAATGTATACACTGCATAATTAAATTTCGAATTAATTCATCATTGGTAGATCCCGAACGAAAGTTTTCGACTTTCACTCAGTCGATATCGTCACTTTGCAATAAAACAACAAGAAATTCATTAAAAACGATCAACCAATTTGCAATGCAAAACCGTATTCTTTATTTTTATTTTAACAAAATATTTTACTTTGAATCGTTTAACAAAATTTTATCAAAATTATAGATAATGATTGGTATATTTACATATATGTATATGAACTACACGATCTTGCGTGTTTCGATCATCATTAACTATAATAGTTCCTCGAAAGCGACAAGAGCTCTAGGCGCTCGCCCCAGTTAGACTAGGAATAAGACGCAGCCTGCTTGCAGCACTCTGCAACGACGACGCGAACGGCAACGTACCTCTGGGCAAGTCATGCAACCGTTACTGGCAGTGCCAGGGTGGTTACCCGCGGTTGCAGCGCTGCCCGGCCATGTTGGTGTTCGACAGGCGGTCGTTGAGGTGCGTGGTACCGCCGACGGAGGACTGCGACGTTCCCACGACACCGCCATCCACCGAGGGCGAGTTGCCCGATGGACGCAACGAGCAGGAACCTGAGGAGGAGAACCTACCGCCTGGCGTGCCGCCTCTGCCATCGGGTGCCCTGCCGATTCCTCTACGGGCGCGTTCCAGGAACTAAAGTCGCAGCAGGTCGTCCCGTCCGACCTGGAAGGACGAAGGAAGCACCAGGAGATCCCTTTTCGACGAGCGAGTTCCCGGAGATCGTCGATCAATGCGGAGAGCTTGAGAAGTTCTCTTGTCAAGTCTCCTCAGATTCTCGCGTGATTTTGCAGCTCCGTAATTTTATAATTCTAGAATTTTCATATAGGATTATATTTTTGAAATTTTTTAAATTCTCTTAGATCTTTTTTAATGTCCCGAAATTATCCTGTATGTCGGAGAAGTTGAAGTCCCGCGATTCCTCAAAGAAAAGTTCCGTTCTTTCTCGTAGATAAAATCTTTATTTTATCTTCATCACAAGGATTTGATTTTCAGATACGCATGCAAAATTCAAATTTGAGTAAAAGTGAGAGTGGCAACTGCCAATAATTACACGGTCCGGTTCATCCTAATTAATGAGCAACAATTTATTATTTCAATTAATTCAGGTATAAGAAGTGAAAAGTTTATCAATTGAATGAATTAATTTATGATCTAAGATAATGAAAAATTGAATAAAACTTTCTAACCTTAAGAAAGGTTGAATATTTTTATAAATCTAGAAAGACTGGAATAAAATTAGCTAAGCATGTTATAAAGATCAATTTAAAAAATTTCGGACAATCTCTTAAAAATATCAAAGAAAACATAAATTGCAAAAGAAAATATCGAATATAAATTAATTTGATAAAAAATATATAAATATAGGATTGTTTTTAAAGAAACGGAAATTTAGAGTCAGTAAAAATGAGGAACTATTTTCGAGGACCGAGACATTCATCGATCCGTCCATATCTTTGACCGATCGAGCTCTTCTTCCTTTTCAATGGAGGTTCGTATTATTAACTGATAAAATGTTGATTATGAACATCTCGTTTTTTTCGGTTCCTGGACCGTTCACCATTCGCATTAGTCGAGATGTAAATATTTTCCCCGTTCCTATCACACCCCTTTTCCCTTCCCCACCCCGCGCTCTCGTAACAATAAGGCTCGTACCACGTATATGTAGATCTATTAAAATAAACTGTACGTTGTATATTTTTTATACGCATGTCCAGATTTTATTCAATGTTGCCTGGCTGTACATTGTTATTATATTTATCATAAATACATTATATGTATTACATATTGTATTACATATAAATACACTATATGTACTACATATCGTACTTGCTCTTCACGCACTGTACATACAATTGGTCCCCTTTAAACGTCTATTATTAATAATAATTTACGTTTGATATATTTTCGTCTATTGGCAACGCCGAATCAAAATGAAATTTAATAGGAATGTACATTTTTAATAATTTTTTTCTTAATTAATTCCTTCTAATTATATATTTTCTGTATAAAAATATTTTTATTACTAACATGTTGTAATTTATGTTCGTAATTCTTTTAATTTTTATAATTGATATTTTCCTTCAAATTTAAACAATTTCTAAAATTAATATTGTCCTGTGATAATTGGATTTTTTTATAGCTGTACACATATTTTTTCTTAACTTTATTTGTAAATTTCTAATTAATATCGTTATATCTCTTTGCCAAATTCATTGATTTAAAGTTGCGGATGATTGTCAGGAGTTGTGCCTCCATTTTAAATACCATTCGAGCTGAAAAAGACACATAAATATATAGTTAGAAAATTAAAATATTTGATCTTACATTCTGCATTAAATTAAATTGAGTTAGTATCTCGATTTCGAAAAGTATGTGAATTTTTATCGATGATATTATCAGAGTAGATATTTTTTGTTTTTTCAAATCAAACAAATGTGCCTGATTTGAAGTTTTTAAAACGTAAAGTGTACAAACCAGTGAGGAACTTCGTCCGGGTCCAGACAAGTCAGGCTCACCGAGTCGAATAGTTTTCCTTCTCCGCAGGTGAGAAGTCGCGGATGTCCGTCGACACAGGTGATTAATCTACCGCAGTCACTTGGTACGGGGAATCTAAAAATCATGCCATTTGTAAATTTTTGGTTTACGTAAAAAACTATAAAAATATTAAATTATAATTTAATATCAGTGTTTATTAAAAATTGCTCTCTTTAGAAATTTACAGTAAAATATCTATTATTCCGTGACCAAGAAAAAATTTAATAATTGTAAGTTATTGCAATTCAAAGAAGCTACGCGATTTTCAGGTTATTTCTGTGTCTTGACATCGTTAGATACCAACGTTTTATGAATATTGCAGTTCACTTTATTAAGGTGAAAAGCAATTTGATACAATACCAGGTTCATAAAATGTTAATATTTAATATCAAGATACGGAGATAATTCGCAAAAAGTAAGTAGCTTCTTTGAAGAAAATACCCGTGGAAGCTGTCAAAAGTATTAAATTATTGCAATATTAAATAATAAAAAGTATTGTAAACTTTTCTATTTTTATCTATCTCGGACTGTTCCAACATATTCAGAATATTTTTTGCATAATATTCAAGAGGAAAGAATAACATGTTTATCAACGTGACAAAAAATTAAATATTTGAATAAAACACGCACGTTCTTTTCTCTTTCTCTCAGTTTTTTTCAGAAGACTGGTTTTTAAATCGAAGCACTACGCACAAATGTCTGACATTTAACGACTTCTTTTACTCTCACGATCTTCGATGGCGAACAATATTTTCTTTCAGTAACTCTTTCTCGTAATAAAAAAAAAATAGGGAAAAGGAAAGAAAGATGAAAAATGTTATTATACCTTGCGGCTGTGTGCAGTAAAATAATTGTACACATAATTTCAACAAATTGCAACCGGAAATTTACAGAGTGCATGAATTATGTAAGAATCTGATGATATGATCAGATTTATACAAATCTAGATTTTGATTATGATTGTTTGGAATAGAATATAATAAGAGATATTGAGCTATCGGAAATCTCGAATATATAATAATAAGTCACCAGGTTAAGTAATTTTTGGGGAAATATTTAAATTAGATATATAATATGATGAAATTAATTAATTTCTTTAAATAGAAAAAAGGAACTTTTTTTGTATCATAGAAATTATTACAAGTTTGTAGCGATTAAAATAATCAAATTATTAATCATTAAACAAATTATTAATCGATATTGAGAAAAAGAATAACATTGATAAAGTGCTTGTTCACAAGAGGTTAAGGAATTAAATTCTTTCAATTTTCCAAGAAGCGAAGAAAGAAAGAAAGTGCGCGAATTAAAAGTGTCGCCTGCCTGGAGTGCGTTGACCTCGTCGCTAGTTTTATTTCCGCGTGGATTCTCATTACGAGTGATTTCTCGGAAGTATGCGCATCTCGTATATAATCACGTAGCACGTACATTACCTCGGGTAGGGCCAGAACTTGGCAGCGGGACTGTTGGGGGGCAGCTTGTGCGGGCACTTGAATCCCACTATAGTTTCGGGGTTGCAGAAGGGGATGAGTTCGTCCGGCCAGACGCACGTGTGGGTCTTGCCGTTGTAGACCAGGCCAGGGTCGCAGTGAGCCTGAAGCGGATCACCATGGACACATTTGATGTAAGTGGTGCTGCAACTGTCACTCTCTGGGTATATACCGAATTGGTACTCGCAGCCTGGGCTGCTAATCGGCGTATCTGCAAAGAGGAAGATGTTCCTATTTAAGCTGAGTTCCGTTATTCATTGTGAATACTGAAAATTTATAGTATGCAAATCATAGATTTTCAGCACTTGCGATGAATAACGGAGTGTAGCCTTAATTATACCGAGAGTTTTGCGAGGTGACTTGAAAATAAACTAAAGGCGTTCATTCGACAAAAAAAGAGATTTCTTATTTTATACTTTTTTTTGTAAATATTGCAAAAATAGATAATTCTAAATCCTATAGCCGAAAGAATATATGTTCGATTAACCATTACATTATGATTTTTTTCCTACGTGTATAGTAGAGCAAAATGCATTGATCTGCTGTTACTGGTCTTTATTAGCAGCAACTTTTTTGGCGCAATAAAATATGAAAAACAAGACTGGAAACTGGAAAGTCACGCGATTGCATCGAGACGTTAAGCCGGTTGAGAGATAAGTGATCCAAAGAGATTCACTTGAAAGCGAAATCATAATGATTGGCGTTAACGTGACCCACTAAAGTGCCGCCAAAATCACTTGTTTCGTATGACTTTTACTTTCCTGACGTGTTTCTTTCTAATTGACTGATTTTTATCTTCATATAAAATACATAATTTTTTATGAAAAGAACAATGATATTGATAATAGCATAAATATAATATATATAATAATATTTATATAATACAATAATACATCAACGTGAATATTAATTTTATTCAATTGCAACATATTTTATATTTTATTTGATGCCATTTCTATATTATACTCTAATATATATATATATATATAGTATATTTTTACATAATATTTATGTCAAATATTCAATATTTCTTTTAAACGAGATAAAGATTGTAAAAACTGTTGGAGTAATAATAAAAGTAACAGATTCGAATATTACGAATACAATGTAATACTCACAGTCAGCCTTGCGATGGCCGCAATCGACAGCCCAATTATAATTGCAATGATTATGGATGGCACCGTGTCCGTCAAACAGAAGTCCATTCTCGCAGTATTCGAAGGTCAGCGTGCCGTTCGTGCACAAGAAGAAGGCCCCGCAGTCTTCAGGGTGGGCGTAAGCATGAATCCCGTAAGGATCAGGGCATGGCGGGGCATCGTGTAATAGGGTGGCACCTTGAGCTATGAAATGAGAGTTTACGTGACAAAAAATAATCATTTTTCACTAATAATAATATATAATATCTAATCTTTATTCTTTAAGATGCAATTTAAATACTATTATTAATGTTGTAATATTTCTTATGCTAAAATATTATTCAAAATGCATACAATTCACTCTCTATATAACATACGTATTATAATATACATATTATATTACTCTATTGTGAGTTATATAATTTATGATTTTTGTATTAATAAATGATTATATTATATAATAATATTATATCAATAAATAATTATCAAATAATCTAAAATAATTGCATATATGAGCCGTTTATTTTGAAAGTGACCTAAGTTCATTAAAAAAAAAAAATGTTTATGACAGCTAAATTCAAGTTGTACACGCTACTACAGTCAACAACAAAAAATTGACAAATGGACTTAGGCCACTTTCAAAATAAACTGCTCATATATATTACTTGTATAAATATATAATAATAAAATGCTATAATTTATTATATATATAATAATAAATTATGGTATTTATTACTACACATTATATATAAATGTTTAATATTAATTATTTAATATTAATCATTATACTGCGAGTGTATAAATACATGCATATGGAGAACAAAGTCAAAACGTTATATCATAATTATGCGGAAAAAAATATGTGTAAAGTCTAAAAGTATATATTTGATCTAGTTTATTTTTTCTAAAAGTGACGCATTTTGCAACGTATTGTCTTGTTTGAATAAACAAAAACGAAAATATGTATTAATGAAAAACTTTATCGGTTAAGTTTGATTGACTTATCGACTTGAAAAGATTTGATTCGCATGACAGCCTCGCGAATGTCGATTATCCTGAACTTTTTCGCAAACGTGCGTTGCGACAACGGATATGTGACGGGCATCGTGATTATTTTCTTATACGTATAGAAAACGACACAATAGCATAAACAATTTATAAAATATTAAAATTTTTTTTCTCGAAATGGAGACTCGAGACTAAAAAAAAAATAGTCGATAAATATTCGGCAAATTATTTTTGAAGAAAACCCCTTACAGTATAAAAAAATGCACAAAATAAAAAATGTTTAATGTATAATGACATATGTTACATATTAAAAAATAAATCATTTCAAAATATAAATCAAAACATTCAACAATTATTAAAAGATTAAGAAAATGTTAAACGCAATTTTTTTGAAAAGTAAAATTCGTTATTAAAAAAATATCGAAAAGTCATCCTGTTCCACAATTCGGTTACATCGTAAATCGCTTCGTTACATTTTTCATCGATCACCTCGGAATGTCCGTTATGTCATACACGCAGATCTTAACATATGGTGTCTCGTCGGTGAAAGCCTCGCGGAGGGTGATGTCGCAACCTGTCAGGAGTCCATGGAGAAGAAGAAAGTATTTACGCCTGCGAAGAGGCAGTCCTCGGTACACAAGGGAAGATGAGAAGCGCATACCGAGACGAAGATGCACACACGATGCGAGATATAGGGTCGCGCGTAGGCGAGGTGAAGGTAACTACCTCGCGGGTTGCGGCGATGGCGGTGGTGGCGGACTTACCACGTGCCAGGACTGCCAGGAGCAGCAGCAGGGTCACGCTCCTCGAATAGCTCATCTTTCCGGCACTCAGTTCGGCTTGACTACTGTCTCTGACGGCGAAGTTGACGATTGGCGCGCACTTTAGGTGTCGGCCTCGGTACACCTCCGAACGGTCCCGTCTCCCTTCACTCCCTTCACCGCGGCTTTACCAAACCCCACCAGGATCCCCTTTGATCGCCGCTGGTTTGCCTACGTGCTCGGGCTGCCGACCAGCGGTGCCGAACGTGATGAATTGTCCGGGTGCCACGCTTGGATCCTTCAGTGTCGCGAGATATATCGATTTGGAGAGAGAAGAGAATTTAAGCTGAATAAATTGCCAAGCTGTTGGAGAAAGTCGGGAAAGAGTTCTCTACAATATGTACAAACAGATGCAAACATGTATCAACCAATAAATCCTGTAAAAGTGTCGCGAATTAGAAGCTAATGAGAAAAGAATGGCTCTGTCGAGATCGGAAGATAATGGCTGAATATTCTTTGGATTTCTTTTTTTATGACGACGAGACATTACAAAATAAATTATTGATTTAATTTTGAAAAATTTAAATTTAAAAAACAAAGGTTGCCGATATGTTACTGATATCAAGACGCAAATCTATAATAAAGAAAACAAGCTGGATATAGTAATTGAAAATATTGATAAGTTAATTAAGTCTAAACGATATAGCAACAATAATAGGCACGTTTGCAACAATCATCAGAAAAGCTGTTGAGAAATCTATTTTTAAGCCGTTTAGCACTCTCTGTACGTCTTACATAATCATTTGTATGAAGAAACGAAGAATATTTCTTGACCGCAGAGGAGCGATTCGCGATCATCATTTTTCTAATCATTGTAATCTCTCGCGGCATCGCGATAAATCGCGAGAGAACGCATCGCGTGTGAAAAGATGACGTTAGACTTAATGCCAAAGCACAGTCTTCCTGCACCTCTCGAAACGCCTAAGGATGCAACGTCCTCGACGCAAATACTCTGTACTGAACTATGTTGCACAAGCACGATCGTTATTTTTCCGCATACTTAATGCCGCATAGTACTTATGCGCTTTCGGTGAACGGCGGTGTAAATGGAAACATTATTATATCATTCGACGCTTCGCATAAATAACAGTTCGAACGATCGCGTTCACAATATGTTTATAGATGTACTTGAAAGATATCGCTATTAATCAAGGGAGCTCTCTCTAATTAAGAAATTATGATTTTAATGGCTTTTGTTCAAGTGAATTAAACCCATCTTGAACAGTCATCTTTTTAAATGATATAATAAATATTTTATAATATAATTATATAATTATATAAATATCTACCTTGAATTCTTAAATTTATAGTTATTAATTACGATTCAATCTCTTGTACGTGCAATCTCTTACATGTTTTTTGCTTACCGAAAAAGCGCGTTTTTTCGGCAAAAGAAAATCGAGTTTTCTGGAGAAGATGAAATATAGTAACAGCAAGGACACGTTACGTTTAACGGTTAATGCCAAGGTGCTCTTCCCTCTGTGACATCATCGGCCACGATGTAATATACTTCAACTAAATGAGTTATAATTGATGAATGCGTGTAATAACTAAAACGTGCACTCAGATAGATGTGTTCTCGATATATTAACATAGTGCGAATATACGTGCACATGTCGGTGAGGCCCCTGGGGTCTTAGCCAGCCTTACGCAAGACCCATCACACTGGTCCCAGGGAGGAGGGACCAGATTGCCGGATAGTGAAAGCAGCCGAGGCGAGCCAGACAAGTCGACAGATCGATCAGACGTTCGAATTGAAAACCGTCATGATGACGGTCAGTTAATTAGTTTAGACTTTCTATGAACCAATTGTTTCTAAAATATAATACTAGAGGAACATAAGAAAAATAATATACGTATCTTGTTTACTAAAGAAATTGTGTGGTATCCTGTGCTTCTTTCTATCGATATTGATAATAAAATAATAGATAAATATTTAAAGAAAAGAAAAAAGAAAATATATATTTTATCTTATTTAAGAAAGTATTTACATTGTATATATCATATTCTATTTTTACAGTAGTATATTTTTATATCGTTCTATTTTTTAGCTTTTATTTTATAAATGTGCTAGGAACAAAAAATTTATTCTGATCGAATTTTTCACATTGCAAGCAAAATGTAAATTGTGATATTGTATATTTCGTCGAGCGCTTCACGAATTATGTAAAGAGAAAGGTTGCTATCAGGCAAATGAAGAGAAATTGTTAGCTCGGAAAACTCGCTCGTGGCATGTTGTTTATTGTGCACCGTAAATCTCGCCAAATCGTCAAGTAGTTTTTATAAGTAGTTTTTTAATATTCAAAGGTATATAAAATATAAGAAGTATAAAACAAATTTTCAATATTTTAGTATAATGAAAATTGTGAACCAAATATGATGAACTACAAAAATATTATTTTGTAATTTGTTATAATTCATTTGGCTTTGCTTTTATTAATGTGCCAAAAGTTCTCAAAAGTAAATGCTGCTGAAGGCATAACATCTATAACGTCGGATGTTGCAATGTAATCTTATGACGAATGGGTTAATTAATTCTCACGCTGACATTTGACTCGCCGGAGTGAAATCCAGGATGCGTTCGAAGAAGTGATTTTGCGAATATATTTCGCGATGTATTCTGGAGTATTGTGGGGTGAGGAGGTTTTCGACGTGCAATCTTTCGTGTCAGAGAAAGTCATGCACATTGTAACACACGATAAATATTAACGATTTGACTTACACGATACTAGCAGTTAATATTGAATGTATTATATCAATGGACAAATTCGATAATTATTATACTTTATTAAAGTAATTTTTTGAATTTTTGAATTATAACTTAAATTCTTTTTTTTCAACTTAAACAGATTTAAAAACTAAACGGTGTTCTTTATATTTAATAATAGTAATTCCTAATCTATTAACAAGAACTTTATTTATTTTATATTCTTAATATTTTTCTGATAATGGTACATTATGTTTTATTAAAAATACTATTTTTAGGAAACTCTAAACTTTTTTGCATCTTTAGCTTAAATAATTAAATTATTTTTATCAAGAATATTTTTCAAGATTTAAGAGAAGTATTTAATATTATCATTTTTGTAATTTTTGTAAAATAATCCAATGTTTTACAATGTTTGATTATTTTATTATTTTTTTATCTTGTATAATTCTCACATACGATAGAACTCGCATGAATATTTTTAATACTTTTGATAAAATGAGAATATGAAAAATTCCATTAGATATTATTTTAATACAAATATTGGCCTTTTTATATTACTTTTATTTTTAGGAACTAGAAGAATTTAAGTTTTATTATTACTATTATTATATGTATAATTAGAGGGACGAAAATAAATATTGAATCTTATGTTTAAGCAATACGTCATTATGTTAAGTAAATTTTAATTTTATTATAAAAACAGTTAATAACCAATTAAAAAGTTTTGACTAACTTTATAAAAATCTCTAAAATAAACTTTAGATTTGTTGACTCCAGATTTGTGAAAGAATTTGTAAATAAATTTCTGGTCACGCTCTACGTAAAATATACATAATTATTAAGTAATAATATGTAATTCTTACATTTATTAAAAATAATGTTATTAAAAGATAACATTTTCAAAATGAAAGACTTATTTCTCCATTAGAATATAATAAATAAATTTCATTCCTTAAGTTATTTAATCGCGGAATTACGGGTGACTATTTTGCGTTCATGTGCTTTTACAATAAAATTTCGACATAATCGATAATTATATAAAATCGGACCGGTTTGAGCGGAGGATTTATCTAACAGATATTATATATATATATAGAACTTGATATCGTCGGTCCGCGGGGTTTTCTTTTCGCGGGCGCGGATTAATGATCCGCAACCGACAACGGTTTTATTACGGATTTTCCGAATGCAAATTTGTTTATGTAAAAGGAGAAAGGGGTAGTGATTCGTCGCGGGGAGGGCGAAAGCGCGATCACTCTCGCAAAGATCATGCAGCGACTTTTACGTAAGCATGCATATCACATGCATTTATTGTTCCTATGGGTAAAAAGATGAGCATTACACACGTTGCGGTTAACTGCAGCACCCTCGCTTCTCCAACTCAATTCTTACGCTTGTAATAGTCCTCGCTGAAACATTGCATTTTGTTATAAAGAGCAGTTTGATGTATTTTTCAAAGTAAGCCTAATATTGAAATTTAGAGAAGAACATTAAAAACAAACAGGGAAGTTAACAAGCAATTATTGACATTTATAATTGACAAAGAATTAAGGACAAGCAATAATTGAGAAATCGACCTTAAAATTTATAAGAGAATCTGTTATAAAAAATACACAAGTTATCAGTTACTCTCTATATATATTATATTTTATATTCTTTATATTACAGAGTAACTTATATAATTTTTGTGTATTTTTTATAACAGATTCTCTTATAAATGTCTCTTATAATTAATTCTCTTATGAATAATATAAAGGATTTCTCTAATATAAAGATCTTCTATAAATAATGTAAAGAATATAAAAATAAAAGAAAAGAAAAAGCTCTCACCATCCCTGCACGGATTCTGGTTCCGTGCACCTGAAGCTGTCTTCGTTGTACACGGTGTCGGGCTCGCATTGGCCCTTCTGCGGTACTACACCGTTCTTGCAGATGTAGAACTTGGCGCAATCCTCGGGATGCGGATAGGTCGGATGCGGTAGGATTCTGCCGGACGGGCCGGCGACGTCGCCGTCCGGGCATACAAAGCCATCGTCCAGGACATCGCGTTTTGCGTTCTCGCATAGACGAGTGGCGTCTGCCGGCCAGACACAGCTCGACATCTTGGGTTCATAGATTAGTCCGGGCGGGCAGGGCACTACTTGCACTACTCCATCGATGCAATTGACAAAACGGTCACACGCAGTCGGGTCCTCGTGGCTAAAAATGCCGTTTGCCCGCGGGCACCCCTTGCTTGGTTGCGGCTCCTCTGTTCAATTATATAATATATTATTATACGTATAATACTAGTGCATAGATAATTATTTCAGTTTTGTATTAGTCTCTCATGTATATTAATTATTTTATAATTGTGATATAGTAGAACGTGTTTCTATCGAGGTTTGTCTTCAAATTTACAATTACAAATAAAATATATTTTTTTAATTTTAGCGATTAATCACTAGAATGATTAATGTTTAATAAATATTGATTTCTACAGCAAAGATTAAAAAAATATTATACAAAATATTTTTAATATAAATTTGATTGTAATTTTATTAAATTTATCTTGTATTTTATTTTATTTTTTAATTGATATTTTTATTAAACTTTAATTAAAGTTTTCTTCAATTTTAATTAAAATTTTTCTGTATGAGATCATGTTATATTATTACTTATGAGAAAACGCAAAAAAGACCGAGACAGAATTTGATTGTCCATTCGTCTAAAAACCGGTTCATGTCGAGTTCTATTTTTGCGACACTGCTTAATCTGCCATTCTTCTAGTTTGTTGAGCTGTTGAGGAGAATATGCATGAAGTATAAAAGAACTCTCATATATAATTCCTTTATTCGAGTACCTATTATTGGAAAGAATTTTCTTTTCGAATGAAAAATCTTTCAATTTTAAAATAGTATATAAATATCAAAATGAATGATATAGATAACAATAAAGATATTTCTGTGTAAATAGTAAATAACATTTTTATGTATGAAATTATTGAGATTGGCATATAATAATTCAAAGAATTAATTTCTAATCTGAAGAGTAAAATGTCAAGAGACTACGAATTCTTTCTTAATTTATGATAATTGTAATAATCTAGATAAGTCTAATTGTAATAATTAAGAAGGATTTAATAAATTTAGAGGATATTTTAATATAATTCGGAACTTACGCAAAACTGTGCGGTCGCCGCAAGGTACATTCGCCGGTATATCGCAGAGTTCCTTCTTGGGATTATCATCCCTGAAGACGAGTCCATCCTTACAGAGTTTCTCCTCAGGCTGACCATCCACGCAGGCGTAATAAAGATCGCACTGTTCGGGATCGGGGAAGAAACCCTTAGGCTCTGGACACCGGAACTGAGCCCCACTCAAGGTGGCCAGAATCACCAGTGGCAGAAGACCACGAAGAAGCACGTGCTTTCCCACTTCCAACATCCTGAAGAGAGTCCCAAAGAGATTCGCGAAGTCTTTCAGATCTCCGTCTTGAAGCTACTGTCCTGAGGAGGCTCTCTCCTTCCTCCTTTCTTCCCTTCCTCTTCTTCTTTAACTTCCTCGTCCTTTTCTTTAACTTCGTCCGCAGTGCGTCGCGACGCTGATAAAACGTGACTGCGGGTCCGAAACGGGTTCTGTTTCGCTCGACAGTCTCGCCACCACCTTGGTGGGTCCTTGCTGTTGCACATTTCCCGACCCTCCCTCCTCCCGACTTCGCCCCCCTTTCGCCGAAAGTCCTGTCTGTCTCTCTCTTTCTTTCTTTCTTTCTGATCGAGCAATGGTCTCACTGTTCCTTTTTCTCCCGTCACGTGCATTCTATTGGATGCATAGACGCAAGTTTTATTGCATTGCGTTATTATCGGTGCATATAAATTCCGGACATTTCCGGGTACTGACGGCGAGACCGGGTCGTTGCTGTTGTGCTACCATTTCGCGATTTGCATCCCTTACTTCACGCTTGGAATTCGCATTGCAAACGCGGCTACCGTGTTACGTTTACTTTAAGTATCCGATTAATTTTATTAATCCGAGATATTTTTGAAAGCGGAACGAGAGAAATTATTTCGTGGGTTTTGTGGAGAGACAATTATCTATTTGTTTATTTAACAGAGCAGTTAATAGAGTATTTATATATCAATTAGTTATCTAAAACTATCTTTCTACAGCTGTACATTATTGTGAAGAAAACAAAAATAATGATCTTGTAGATACAAAAACTATCTATTTATTTAATGTACCAATTGCATTAATAATTTCATAATTTCGAACTAGAGAAGTATGATCGTTAAAAAATAAAAATAATTGAAATACATATGTTATATAAATGAGAGACTTGTAAAACGCAATTTAATTTTGTAATAGTATTAATATACTGTTAAAAAATTCTTGTTATTCTCAAATAAAATCATATTTGCAAATGATAAGATATTGCAGTAATTGAATATCGTCACGTTGTATAAAGTGCAGAATTCAATTTTTATTGAACGAGTAGATTTAATCTTCAAAAAAAGCGTTCAGCAAGTGGCATTTGCAACAGACGCTTGTGAATTGGAAAGTTAAATGGAAGAGAGAGAGAGAGAGAGAGAGAAAGAGAGAAGAGAAAGAGAGAAAGAGAATACTGTGCATATAAACTCAACTTACCTGCCACGCAAAAGAAATAAATTAATCTTTCGCCAAGAAAGAGTAACGGTATTTCTTTAATCTAACGTGTTATGAAGATAAAATTGTTTTTTCTGTGACGCTTTGTTACAATGATTTATTTATAATATTTCTTTTCTTTTTACATGGATTTAAAATTTATTTTATTATGCATTTTAAGGTTCGGGGTTTTTTACTTTTCCCTTCTTTTTTTGGCGTAAGAGCTTTTTACTTTGCTGTTAACAAACATTTGGGAAAGTAGAGCGAGTAAGCGCATCTCTCGTTCGTATCTTGTTCGTATAATAATAATGCAATACCAGAAAGAGAATGAGGGAAAGAGAGAGAAAGTGAATTGCAGAACGAGAATCAAGAGAGCAGTTCAGGAGAAAGTGATAGTCAACTGATCTCATAACGAGAATGATTCAAGGCCTTTCGCAAGTTCCTTGAATACCATTTTGAGAATCGATCGACAACTGAGTCACCATTAACTTCTCTTGAGAAAAATTAAAATTATTTTATTAATGGTGTCAAAAAGTTTTGATAATGGCGCCTTTCCTTTTCTCTTTTTATTTGTCACATAACACAAATTGTATTTTATTTGAAATCTGAAAAGTGTAAAAAAAAAAGAAAAGAAATATTTATAATTTTAGAAGATATGTATTTTTGTTTAACAGTTGAAATAATATTATTAATAATGAATTTTTTAATATTTCCGCGATAAAATATTTATAATTTATAATCGAAATTTCTTAGATTAATTATGTAAATCGAATTAAATATTATAAGTTCTTTTCATTACATAAATAAATTAATTTACCGATTTTTTTAAAGAAAATGTTATCTCAATTTTAGTTCGAGGCATTTTAATTAATTGGGAACTAGGGAAAGGAAATCAGGTTTCGATTAACTGATCGAAGACTAATAAAGTAAAAATAAAATGTATTCCAAGACATTCAAATGGCTAAACACACACATGGAGATACACGCTGGGCGAAGGAGGTGACACGTGATTAAAGTGAATGTGCGGTGTCCCGATGCGGGACAGATGAGCATGGATGACTTCCTTACGGCTTCTCGTCCTTGTACCAGTCCTCGCTGCAAGGTAAACGACAGTTATTAAATTCCCCGGACTTTTTAAGCACGACAGTAGCTTAATTAACTCAAAATAAGATTTCATAAAAACGTAACGTAGAATATAATAATCTTAATAATTTGGTTATACAAATAGTGAGAGATTTTAAATCTTGAAATTTACAATTGAAAATTAATTAAATTGAACACATAATATTAAAGATGCTTATTAACCGAGTGAGATTGTTGAAGTTCTTTTATTTAATATATCATGACGTTCAAAGAGTGCTACCAGAATTATATATGTATAACCTGTATGGAATGTATTCAGATGATGTCAACATGTTTACTCTAACTTGATCTTTTAGTGATTATATTAACTGCTAAATCGTCAATATAAAAATAAAATGATGGAATAATATATAGATCGTAAAATTAACTCGTACCATCCACGGACATTCTCAGGTGCATCGCACCTCTGCTGCTCTTCATTGTAGACGGTGCCATCGCTGCAGCCTTGTTCACGCGGCGTCACACCGTTTAGGCATACGTAAAACTTCTGACAGTCCTCGGGATGCGCAAATTTAGGATGGTCGACCACCATGCCCCTGCTATCAACCTGGGTCTCGGTTGGGCATTCAAAGCCGTCTTGCAGCTTCTTGCCCATAACTCCGCAACCCTACATCATGCAGCACATTTCTGTGTTATCGTGTTGTTGCATCGAGGAGCATTGATTTCAGTTTAATTTAACAATTTCTCAAAAAATTTTACGATTGGCCTTTCTTCGTTAGATTAAAGTTAGATTAAGTTCTTTCTCGTTTCCTAATAGACATTCTAATTTTCTTTATATCATTTTTTACAACTTTCAATTTGTAGTCTCCAGTTTTATTTTACGTAATTTTATTTTACATAATTAAGTATGATATTAAAAAATTTAATTGAAAATTATACAATATTGTATAGTAGATTAGGATTTCGTTTCTCGCATCTCCTGAACGCTATTTGTCTGACTCCTAAATTCAAATGCTAACAGAATTGCATCGTTAAGTTCCCACTATAATTGCAAGGAAATACCTGAGACCTACCCGAGGATAATTGTAATTAGGAGAAAGTACATGCGCTGTGGGGTGTATTAGAAGTTTGTACTTTCTCTCAATTAAAGATTTAACTTCGGGGAAGTTCACAGCTTTTGTTACAGTTCCGAATCAATTGTTCTAAACCTCCGTCAGAGCAAGTCTAGGTTTATGTGCGGAATATGACTACGTTACATGTACATATACAGTATAAAACTCAGGATTTTGTTTTTTAACGTCAGTTAACTTATTCTAATACCGCGTGTGTCGTAACCGACAAAATAAAACAATTCTTTCTTACTGCACTGAGAAACATTTCGAGTTGAAAATGAACGAAAATTCTGATCATTTCTATTAAAATTTTGATTATCTCATCGAGAATTATAGATTCTATCAGAAAATTCTGATTTATACATTTTCAATCAATAATTGTAATTAATATAATCAAACTTTTTTCCAATGTCCTCTCTAAATTTTTTGGAGTAGAATTTTATTCTAAAGAGTGAAAATTGAGTCAATCTTGAAAAAAATAGCTCAATCTGTAAGACTGAGATTTGATTTTTCGGTGATAATTCACTCTAAAAATTTGAGAGAGTAAATTTTCTCACCTCGCGACCCGCGCTATCCGGCCACACACAAGTTCCGCTGTACTCATCGAAGTGCAGCCCAGTGGTGCAGGTGATTTCAATCGCCTCTCCGTCGATGCAATTGAAGAAGACGTTGCACACTGTCGGGTCGGGATGCGCGAAGAAACCGTTTCGTCGCGGACACTTCTTCGTCGGCTGTGGAGGTTCTATTAACGAGGACAATCGATCAATCAATCATGCAGCTTCATTATCGTAATATTATATTCGATATTTTAACGTGAATGAATAGGTAATATATTTTAATTGGACATATCAAATATACGAAACGCGCTTTATTGCATAAATATAAATAGATAAAAATAGACTTTCAAGACAAGAATTTTTAACAAGAAAAATTTAATTAATAATTAAATTAATTACTCTGACAAAGATAATAATATTTCAGATATTATATAAGAAAACATTATTAAATTAGAAATATTATTCGATATTAGCAACGAATGTATTAATTTTCAAAACGGTTCTTCATGAAATATCGTTTGCCTTACGTAATTCGAGACGGTCACCGCAATCGACGTTGAATACGTGGTCGCACTTGTTGACCTTGCGATTCAAGGGATCGAACACAAGACCGTCCGGGCACAGCTTCTCCGTTGCTACGCCGTCGATGCATTCGTAATATTTGTCGCATTGCCTACTGTCCTCGTATTGGCCGTCCTTGTTCGGGCAATTGTACGCGGCGTCTGTAATGTTGCCGGCGATAATACTACCGTGGTCTTACCGCGGGCGGAAATCGATGTGGCGTTTCCGGTAGACGGAGGTGATCGAACCTGTCCGACCTGCCGTCGCATTCTTGGATCGACATTATTTCGTCGTTCATTACGTAATTTTGTCTTGGTGCTGCGCACGACTATACTTATGCAACTCGCTGAACGAGAAAACTGACATTTACGATTTAGAAAGTCGCTCTCGTACTGTCTCCGGGTTAATTCTAACGGATATTTCCACTGAACTTACTCTGTTTCGCATTTTCTTTCTTTACTCTTATTGCAATTTCAGATAAGAATATTTCATTTGCCTTATATATTATAATATAAATATTTTATATTAGTCATGAAATTATCATCGACGTTTGTTCCAACATTATTTTATATCCGAATTCTATAATTATGTTTATATGTGTAGTTAAACAATTATATTGATTTTTTCTTTCAACACATTTGAATATCAAAAAGTATTTAAATTTTT